GGGCACGCTGGTACCGATGATTTTTTTCTGCAATCTTGACTGTTCGATGAACTCTGTTTCTGTCCTGTTCGGTTGCTGACCCAAACCGGACAGATTGCTGTGAGCTGAGCCATTTTGGAATGGAGGATGTCCAGGATGACTGTGTTGAATGCTAAGCTGAAGTACACAAAGAGGACCCGTGCATAGGTCCATCTGGACACAAATGGTCCTGATCTTTCATGTCTTTATTGAACACACCTAAAAAACATGCAGTGATGGTGGAAAAAGAAATGGCAACACTAGGCTTCTGATGTATAGCACAGATGACCATTTTCAAATGAAAAGTAAAAGCTCCTGCCCGTAAAGCTCTTTTATAATCACACCTATTACCTTTGAATGTTTACTCTGTGAGTTCCAGGTGACTTCCATAAATTCGTGGAAGATAAGGAGCAGCAATAGGTGTGGTTTTGTTTGAATAGCCAGTTAGACAATAAATCAGTCTGTATTAAGGCTTGAGTCCACAAAAGCTCAATGCCTCACTGCCAGAGAGAGCTTGGGATTTTAAAAGTAGCTGTTTGCTAAGGTATACCTGCAAGGCAAAAAAATAAAATAAAATAAACACTACTATATTTGCTTACAATTCCAGGGATCTCCCTCTGCTGAATACAAGGCAGTTCTCTCTCTCTCTCTCTTTTTCTGTTGTCTTATTGTCATGCCCAGGGATTTGATATCCCTGGGCATGACAATTTGGAACACAGGTCCTGGTAGCAACTGGCCACATGTTATGTAATCTCCCACAGATGGAGAGGTCCCCATTCAGACAACCTGCAACTCACAGCACCATTGATTAAACAGTGGAAATATAAAGTGGAGAGCAATGTCCTTCACTGCTGTAAGTCTGTATAAAGAATAAGGCTGCTCCCTCAAAGTCGACTAGATGAATTATTAATTGTGAGACCTGTCAATCGACAGACTCTTCTAGATGAATCTTTGTTTTTATTTTAGTATATTTTTTTGTCTGTTATTATTTTATTGTAATGCACACCAGTGTGCATTACAATAGAAAGTAGCCACAGCCCATGTTTGTTTGTCATCTTCTCCTCGTTTTGGTGTGCCAAGCAGTAATTTGAACAGCTGAATCAAGTCGACTGACAAAATTCTTAGTCGGGTACAGCCCTAAGAATGTTTTAATTTAAAACTCGTCCTTTGTCACTTTGTTGATACTATTTCAACTGTTTTCCACCAAGTCATACTATGTTGTCATATACAGCAGGTCTTGTTACTGTTTCAAGTTTTCTATGATTTGGTTGTTTGCATCTTGGCTTTATGAGTGTAAGTAACTAAATCCTACTCCTATGTGCTGACTTTTGTCACTTGGACCCAGTTATTTTACTATGCACCTGTTTTTAATCTCAACTTGATATTTTAATACTTCATATTTTTGTAGTTTAATAATACATTATTGCATATTTTGAAGTTTTAGAACTTACAGTCTGACTGATATTGTGATATGTTCTAAAGAATTTCTGGCTCTTGGGAAAGGAAAGAGTAGGTTTGGTCTCAACATTCATAGTATTGTCTTGCTAATCCACCCTAAACAGTGTTATCTTGCTAGTTGACATTATCTAACATGATTAACTAACATGAGTTGATATTTTCTACAGTGTAAAGACTGGTGACATTAGGTAGCAAGCAGGTTTTCATTTTAAATCAATGTGGCTGCTGGTCAGTTAGTTAACTATTTAGCCTATTAGCTACTTATGCTGTGGATGGTGAAAAAACTCCTTATTTCTCTTTATCTGTTTTGGTGAATAAATGAGATGTGGTATGGACATAATGATGTTATGTCAGCTGTGGAGTGCAAGAAGAAAAGGAAATGAGTCATCTGAAAGACTGAATTTTCACCCATGCTTGAGGTTTAGACCGACGACCCTGATCTCGTACCGTTGTTAGCACACTGACAGCTGTTGCCTCCTTCATGTCTGGGAGAAAATTTGCACACAACGTGAGCTTCACATCACCCCCTCTTTTTCAGTCAGTCAGATGATATCATGTTGTCTTGTAGATGTAGCCTTAGGAAGGGCACAATGGAATTAACTAATATGACTTCACTCCAAAGATAATGTGCATGGGTTCACTCAAATATTGATAGGGCCATTTCTGTTCTCCAAGAATATTTGTGAGGACATGTCTCATCCACTTGCAGAACTATACCCTTGTATGCAGCTACAAGTGGACGAAGGCAAAGCTAGATTCTGGCTGCAGCTTGTAGTAATTTATGGTCACAAGATGACATATATTGCAAACTGCATATTGCTTAATTTCTTTGACTGTGGGTCTACATGATCAATAAGCCTTTTTATGGCTCAGGCAGGCTACCTGTCTTTGGGGCAATCACCAGTAGCTCTTAGCTTATGCCCTTAACTCTTTAGTGAGACAGCAGTTCTGGTCGTATAAATAAACATGATAAGCCCATCTCTCCCTTTACCCTGCGCTGCTTGCTGCTCTGGTGACATAATTGACAGGTTTTTCTTCTGAGAATGATGTCTGAAATACTGCTGAAAAAGAAAGCTCCAGTTTGACTTTCCACCATCAGACCGTTCAGTGGGATGGCCATAAATTACACAGTAGTACACACTGCTCTTCTTTCACTCTCTCTAATGCCTTTTGGGGCTTCTTTGCCTTATGCACTTATCATCATGTTCCACAGAAGAGCATGTCATGCACCCAGAGATTAGGACAAATGCCATGTGGCCATCTCACATGTTTGTCTATCAATAAGAGGCACAGTGAGGGTGTTTGAATGCTGCCAACCAGCAGCGCATGTTGCTATAAGAGGAGAACACACAGTACGTAGGGTAACTGTGAAAAGGACAGAACCAGGACACAAAGTGCTGAAAGAGCTGACAGTGTGGTAGACTTCTCATCATC